TATTTTGCTCTCATGATCTGGGTCCAGAGCCCCTCTTCTCCCATTTGGATCCTCCACCCTAATTTGACCATAAAGGCCACATTCATACTGTTTAGGTTTCTTATTCCTAGCCCTCCATCTTTCAAGTCTCTAGTAAATGTCTCCCAGGCCAATAGGTTGTGTTTTCTTTCTCCAGTAGCACCTCCCCATAGGAAGTTGCGAACTAGTTTCTCAATATTTTCCAGCACCCCCACAGGTACCATCGTAGATTGCATAGAATAGATGGGGATTGCAAAGAGGACGGATTGGGCAAGTACCCTTCTTCCCGCAAATGAGAGTGTCTTCATCTTCCACCCTGATAGCCTGCTTTTAACTCTGTCTATAAGTCCCTGGTATGATTCTTTCTTTAATCTTCCGTGTTGTGATGGGACTCCTAAGTACTTTCCTAGATCATCAGTAATGTTAATGTTTAATAGCTCTGTTATTGCACGCCGATCAGCAGGAGGGGTGTTCTTTGAGAAGAACATCTAAGACTTTTGGAGATTTACCTTTTGTCCTGAATTGTTGCAGAAGGTATCTAGGCACTGTTTGATGACCATTGCTTGCTGCAGTGTGGCCTCTCCCAACAAGACCATATCGTCCGCAAAGAGGAGGTGTGTTATGCTTGGACCATTCCTTGACACACTAATGCCTCTCCACTCGCCGCTTTCAACCTTCTCATTTATTAGGTGACTAAAGCGCTCAATGCAAAACACAAATATTAGTGGTGAGATAGGGTCGCCTTGCCGAATGCCCCTTGATGGTTTAAACCACTGTGATTTTTTCCCATTAAGAGAGATGGCTAGTGTAGTTGTTGTGATGCATCCCATTACGTGCCTTATCCAGATTTCGCTAAAACCTGCTTCCCGGAGTGTTTCCTTGATAAAGCTCCATGACAGTCTATCGTAGGCCTTCTCGAGGTCAATTTTAAGAATCATCAACCCCACTTTTCCTTTCTTGAGGCTGGCTGTATTTAGCACTTCTTGATAAGCAAGTATGTTATCCACTATCTACTTCCCAGGAACAAAGCTCGACTGATTGGGGCCTATTAATTTTTGTATGGCCACCTTCAATCTTGATGTTAATGTCTTTGAGATCACCTTATACGATACGTTGCAAAGGCCAATAGGTCGCAGTTGTTTGACATTTTCCGGGTTTTGCACTTTAGGGATTAAGGTTATGATTGTGTCGTTGCTTCCATCCGGAATGATACCAGATCTGAAATATTCCAAAACAAACGCTGTCAGCTTCTCCACCCACAATCGGCCATAAACGTTAATAGAATCCAGCATGATAGCCATCCGACCCAGGGGCCTTGCAAGGTGCCATGTCGAAGCATGCTTCCTTAACTTCGAGAGCCGAGAATGGGGTGTTCACATAGTCCCAGTCTGCTTCGGGAAAGGTTGGAAAGGATCTCCTCCACCCAACTTGTCTTGACTCCCTCATGTCCTCTGTATATAAGTTGGTAAAGAAGTCTGTAATGTGGTTTAATATTTCCTCATCAGATGTTAGCCACTCATCTCGGTTGTTCCTTATTCTGGTAATCCTAGAGTTGGCTTTTTTAGCTGCGGATGCTGCGTGGTAGAACCTTGTATTACGATCTCCAGATGCTATCCAGTCTTCACGAGACTTCTGAAACTAGTAGAGTTCCCCTTGATTTAGAATCTCTTCCAATTCCTTCTGAAGCTTCTTGTTTAATTTGATTAAGTCCGATCTTGGTCGGTTTGCCAGAGCCTTTTGGACCCCTTCGATCCTTGCTAGAACTCTTTTCTTTCTCTGGAATATACTCCCAAAGGTGCTGTGGTTCCAGGCTAACAAATCGTTAGCTAATTCCATCTTTGCTTGCTCCAATTCTTCATCAATTTTCCATTTATCCTTGACAAAATTCATGAACCCCGGATGCGAGGATGAGGATTTGATTAACAGAAGTTGCGTAACAAAAGGTCTGTACAACATAGATATAGAAGTAAGTAGAAGAGTCCTAGTAGACTATAACAAGTAGTCCTAACACTCCCCCTCAAGCTTAAGGTGGACTAGCTGCAACATTAAGCTTGTCACGCAGAAAACGAAACCGGGTAGACGGAAGCGCTTTAGTGAAAATTTCAGCCAGCTGATCCTTCGTGGAGATGAAATGAACATGAATCTCCTTCTTGGAGAGTTTGTCACAAACAAAGTGGTAGTCAATCTCCACATGCTTTGTTCGCGCATGAAAGACCGGGTTAGCGCAGAGATAGGTGGCGCCCAAGTTTTCACACCATAGTTTGGGCGGAGACACCGCAGACAGTCCAATTTCCCTCAGCAAAGACACAAGTCAGGTCACTTCCGCAGACACATCCGCTAAAGCCTTGTACTCAGCCTCTGTTGACGAGCGAGCCACCGTACGTTGCTTGCGACAGGACCAAGAAACGAGATTGCCACCTAGGTAGACAGCAAACCCACTCGTCGACTTTCGATCGGTCGGACTACCAGCCCAATCCGAGTCCGAGAATGTATGAACATCAGTGGATACAGAACGTCTGACAAGTAGACCCAAGTCACTAGTGCCCTTGACATACCATAACACCCGCTTTAGCATCCCCCAATGCGCCACGGTGGGAGTATGCATGTGCTGACAAAGCCGGTTCACCGCATATGACAAGTCCGGACGAGTAACTGTGAGATACTGAAGTGCCCCGGCCAGACTGCGGTATTGAGTGGGATCATCAAAGGGAGCCGACGCAGAATCATCAGTCACCGCAAGAGACACAGGAGTAGCAACTGGCTTACAGTCAACCATACCGGCGCGCTTCAAAATATCACTCATATAGCGCCGCTGAGAGAGAAACAAACCATCGGACAGAGAAACAGTCTCAATCCCAAGGAAGAAGGACGGAGACCCCATGTCACGAATCTTAAACTCTGCCGCCAACTGATCCACGAACCCCGTCACACGAGCCGAATCGGACCCCATAACGAGAATGTCGTCCACATACACAAGAAAGTAAAGCTGCACACCACCATTAGAATAATAAAACAAGGAAAAATCAGTCTTAGAGGGAACAAAACCAATTGAGACCAGAAAAGTGTGCAGCCGTGTGAACCAAGCACGGGGAGCCTGCTTCACCCGTACAGAGACCGCTGAAGGAGACAGACGTGGCCAGGAGATGCCTTGTCCTCATAGCCTGGCGGCTGCCGCATGTACACAGTCTCAGCTAGAGTGCCATTCAGGAAGGCATTGTGGACATCCAACTGACGAATAATCCAACCCCGGGACACGGCGAGTGAGAGAAGGAGACGCACAGTGGTGGGCTTGACAACAGGACTGAATGTGTCCGAAAAATCCTGTCCAGCCACCTGATTAAAGCCTTTAGCCACCAGTCTCGCCATGTGACGCTCTATCGAACCATCGGCCTTGCGCTTAGTCCTGAAGACCCACTTACACCCAACAACATTCATACCTGGAGTGTAAGGCACCAACCGCCATGTGCAATTTAGAAGTAAAGCGTTAAACTTCGCATCCATAGCCGCACGCCACTCAGGATGCCGGGCCGCCTGAGTGTAACAAGTAGGATCAGAGTTATCAGTCGTAGAGACCAAAACCACATGCTCAGTAGGACCTCGGCTGCGGGTGGCCATCACATGAGACCGGGGCAGAGCAGCCCGCGCAGCACGGCACGACCGGCCACGCACGGGAGCCGTGACCGTGCTCTCACTATCCGTAGAACCACCGACAACAACATCCGAATCAACTACGGGCGGCTCAACAACATCACCCGAATCATCCACCGTAGCAGGACGAGGAAGTGGAACTGGAGAAACACCCCACGGCACCTCCGGAACCGAACCTGAAACCTGCGAATCAACAGGAGAAGCAAACGGAAAAACAGACTCATCAAACCGCACATGGCAGTAGATGAAAACCTTATTAGTGCGGATATCCAAACAACGATAGCCTCGGAACGAATCCGGAAACCCCAGAAAAACACAAGGAGCAGACCGATATTCAAGTTTGTTACGGTTATATGGACGAAGCAGCGGAAAGCATAGGGAACCGAATACATGCAAAAAGGAGTATGACGGAGGAGAACTGTGGAGACGGAGATGTGGGGAATCATTACCCAAAACTCGAGTAGGCATTTTGTTTATAAGATACACAGCGGTCTCAAACACATAGTCCCAAAAACGAGTAGGGACAAACGCATGAGCCATTAATGCTAGACCAGTCTCAACGACATGCCTATGACGACGCTCCACACGACTGTTCTGTTCGTGCGTATACGCACAGGATTGCCTGTGACGAATACCCAGCGATACAAACGTAGAGTGGAGCTTCTTATACTCTCCCCCTAAATCAGATTGTATGGAAATAATTTTGCGAGAGAAAGACCGCTCAACATGTGACCGAAACCGCTCAAATATAGAATAAATATCAGTTTTAAGCCGCATAGGGTAAAACCAAACATAACGAGTAAAATCGTCAACAAACAAAACAAAATAACGGTACCCATTTGCAGACACAACAGGCGTAGGGCCCCAAATATCCGTATAAATTAATTGCAAAACATGAGTACTAGACGAATCAACACGGAGTAAAGGGAATCGGGAGGATTTCCCTAACTGACAAGCAGAACATATATCTGACACATTATTTCGACTAAATGAACTAACACCAGACAACTGCAATACTTGGCGCAAAACACGGGCGTGTGGATGACCAAGCCGCAAGTGCCAAACAGACGAAGACGCACGCGCAACAAACGCAGTAGGCGTAGAACTCGATGACGGCCAAGAATATAACCCCCCGGAAGCATGCCCCTTAAAAAGAACTTCCCTGGTCAAACGATCCTTCACAAAAAAAAAAAAACGACGGATGAAATTCAAAAAAGACGTTATTATCTTTAGCGAATTTCTGAACAGACAACAACGAAGACGAAAGACCGGGGACATGAAACACATTATTTAACGAAAATAATCTAGAAGGCGAAGCTATCGAAGTGGAACCA